AAAATTAAAACATGTAAAATAAGCACATTTAATATTATAATCATAGAATTGAACACTTTCTTCTTAGTTTTTTCCCTACTTCTTTAATCTTTCAACAGAATACGAATATCCTAATTCTCCTTATGATGCCAAGAGCAGGTTATAAATATTCCCATGGTTTTGGTAATCTGATTAGGAAGAACAATTCAGTCTATTATTCTCACTTATTATAAATGAATGTCATCACTTTTCAAGGTTATTGGCCATCTCTATTTCTTCTTTTACAATTGCCATTTAGTGTTCTTTGTTCCAATCTGTTTGAACTTTTTTCTTTATCCTGTAGAAGCATCTTATTCTTGCTTAACTATCCAAGGGGTAAATATTTTTGCCCAGGTTGTCATTTTTTTCTGGTAACAGTGTATGAGGCATCTTGTGCCATAAGGAAGAATTTAAAGATTTTTAAGAACAGCTATGGTAATCACTGTCCTTGGGTACTTGGAGCAATGAGTACACCCGAGTAGGTGCCAGGTCTGGAAAAGAAGAGGTCACACCAATGCAGGACAGGGAGGAGCAGAGCAGCCTGTGGATTTCATCACTCAAGAAAGCACTCCAGACACCCACACAACAGGGCACAGGGCCCTCAATGAAAAATTCTTTCTTCTTCTCGCCTCTCTCTTTCGCTTGAGAAGAATGGCTAACATTCCTGATCCTTGATTGCCTCTATGATTTTGAGTAGGTTTCTCATATTTCACGAGTTTAGAAGAAGAATAGACCAGAAACCTCTTCATTCTGCTGCTCTAAGAAGTAAATGAGTGACAGTACACAAGTGACTGGCCAATTTTCAGTATTATTAGACATTTTAAATGAAGGCTTTCTGGCCAGGCACGGTGGCTCATGCCTGTAATCCCAGCACTTTGGGAAGCCGAGGTAGGCAGATTACTTGAGGTCAGAAGTTCGAGACCAGCCTGGCCCATATGATGAAACCTCATCTCTACTAATAATACAAAAATCAGCCAGAGGACAAGAGATCCTCAACGTCCTGTTGTTCTCCTGAGTACTCCCAGGGCAGAGAAAAACACATGACAATCTGAGAAGTGAGATGGAATTTTAACTGTAAGAGAGGCAAACCCCACTCACCTTGGACGTGGTCATTTTTCCTCCTACTTCAGGGAATTTGCAGAGTCCTGAATGATGCAGTTCGAGAGAAAGCAGAATTGTGCCTGGAAAGTGCCATGGAAGACAGAAAAAGAGACATGAAAGGGTGCTTGGGGATGCCACCCACCAATAAGGACTCATATTGTCAAGTAGCACATGAATGCTCACAGAGCATTATTCATACTAACCCCAAACTGCACACAACCAAGAAGCTCTCCTACAGGTAAATGGATAGAAAAATTGTGGCATATTCATACAATGGAATCTTACTTGGAAACATAAAGGAATGAAATACTGACCCATGCTACAACACCCATGAACCTTGAAAACATTACAGTAAGTTAAAGAAGCAAGTCACAAGAACCCACAGACCCTATGATTCCTTCTATATGGAATGTCTGGAGTAGACAAATATATAAAGAAAGTAGGTTAATAGTGGCTCTAAATTTGAGGTGAGAATGAGGTTTAACATAAATAGCCATGAGGAATCCAACTGGGGGATGAAAATGATCTCAACTGAATTATGATGATGATTTCTCCACTTTGAAGTTCCTAAAGACTACTGAATTGTACACCTGAAATGGGTAAATGCTATGATAACTAAAAGCTGGAGTTGATAAAATAATAACTGTTAATGCACATATCATTAAAATCAATAAAACTGGATTCTGGGTCCATATTGGTAGAATATCTATAGCTGAACAAATGTATGAACCAACAGAGGAGAAATGAAAGCTCTCCTTTATAAGAAAATGCCCACTAATAATGTATTTCCCCATGAGAAACTTCATAATTAAAAAAAAAAAGGTAACATAAGAGTGGACAAATCTGAAAGACATCTTCTTGGCCAAGTGACAAAGCTGAGATCACCAATGAAGGGACAAACGGACATCACTTGGACCTTGTTACGTTACGAGAAGGGCATCTCATCGCGCCATTCCACTCCAGCCTGGGTGAAAGAGTGAAACTCTGTCTCAAAAAAACAAAAAAAAGGAAAAGAAAAGGGCATCTCAGCACTTCTGTTGAATCCCCACCAACAATGCATAATCTGAACCTAAATGTGAAATATATCAAATTCCAAATGAACATCTATGGAAATGTGACAGCTAAAGACAATGCATAAACTGGACTTTGAATGGGGTTGCAGGTGAAGGGGGGGCAGGGGACAGTCATAAGGACTTTAAATGAAAAATTAAATTCACATATGAACTTCAAATTAGATAACATGATGCTAGGTAATATCGCATCCAACACTATCTAATAAGTACCCTACAAGTACTAGTATTATTGTAACACATCTAATTGATATGTAATCAGTGACAACATTATTTAATATAATATTCAATATTATTTAACATGTTATGTAAAACCCTATAACCAGCCCTTCCTAAATGCCTCTTACCAAGATACTACACAATCACCCTGATATTTGGGCTTCCTTGCTGCAGAAACCTACAATCAGCTGTCTCTGGTTACAGGTATGTTCCCGGTGGTATTTGGTTGATGGTCATCAGGAAGCAAACAGGAAGAATGTAAACACTTGGCAAATTTGGGTAAAAAGTATATGAGAATCTCTTATACTGTTTTGGCAATTTTTCTATAGCTTTGAAATGGTATCAAACGTTTTAAAATATCAGGAAACAAGAGACCGCCACTCACCAAGTGACAGGGACTACTTTAAGGCTTTCATTTGTATTATCTCTTTCAATTCGCAAAACAATTATATTAGGATGATCCTATAATCACCATTTTAAAGACCAGCAATGGGAAGTACAGGGACTTTAAGTAACATTCCACGTCACACTGCGAGAAAAAGGCTGCACACCTAGAGAGGAGGACTGAACGAGGTCAAAGTTCTGGAAATGCTCAGAGCAGGGCACACAGGGCCCCGCCAATCCCACCCACCGGGACGCGAGCACCGCCCCCCGACGCCAGAGGGCCCTGCCGACTGGAACAATAAACACCCTACCCGCCCTCCCACCTCCAAACCTCCAGTCTTCGCCAAGGCCTCTTTTCCTCTGAAACGATCATTGATCATGGGGCAGTTGCAAGCCTCAAGCAAAGGGGGCTCGTTCAAAATGTCCTGCAAGACGCAGAAATGGCTCAAACTACCCGGGTCATTAAAGTAGGAACCTCAAGCTCTGAGACCGGAAGTATTCGCTCCGCCAGCGTGTCTGGACTGCATCCACTTCCCAGAATTCCCCAAACTCGCTCGTCTGAGCCAAAGGGCCGGCGACACCGCAGAGTATCTGGAGTGAGGTTCCCAGAATTCACCGGTCCGCTTGCCAGAGCCAAAATGTCCGGTGTTCCACCGGCCAGCGGACTACACTTCCCACAAAATGGACTACATTTCCCAGCATTCACCGGAAACGCCTGCCTGAGCTAAACTACCAGGAATCCCGCAAGGTCAGGGCTCAGGGAACTCCACTTGGATAGCACTGCCAGGCATGATTAGTTCCAGATACCAGAGAAGAATGTGAAGGCGGCACGGAAAACTATGGGCCCATGACACACAGGGCCTAAAGCATGGACATCATTTGCTTGGATCTAAGGGCGGTACTGCTCTCCTCTCTGGCCATTGGCAATCTCACCACACTCATCATCCTATGTGTTGTAATACGTATTGCAGGAAGCATTCTTCATCACCTGTTTGAGCCCTATTCTCAGTCCATTCCGAGATTGAAGACTGCAGAATCTGAGGGCATGGACATCCCAAAGAGACTGATGTTGGCAAAAAATAGACTGACAAAAAAAATGGGATTATGATATGATTTGGCTCTGTGTAGCCACCCAAATCTCATCTCAAATTGTAATCCTCACATGTTGGGTGCGGAGCCTAGTGGGAGGCAATTAAATCATGGGGGCGGACGTCCCCCTTGCTGTTCTCATGATAGTGAGTGAATTCTCATGAGATCTGGTTGTTGGGAAGTGGTGGTGCTTCGCCTTTGCACTCTCTCTTCTGTTCTAGTGCTTTCTTCTTCACCTTCCACCATGATTCTAAGTTTCCTGAGGCCTCCCAGTCATACTTCCTGGTAAGCCTTGGAACTGTGAGTCAATTAAACCTCTTTTCTTCGTAAATTACTCAGTCTCAGGTAGTACTTTATAGTAGTGTGAAAACAGACTAATAAAGCTTATAACCCAATTTCACTCCTAAGTATACATTCAGAGAAATGAAAGCTAAGAGGTGTGAGACAGAAGAGAGCTCATGTTGTATGATTTCATTTACATGAAATATTCAGAACGGGCAAATCTGTAGAAACAGAAAGTAGAATAGTGGTTGCCAGGAGCTGATGGAAGAAGGATGGGGACTGGGAGTGACTGCCAGTGGATAGGGGACTACTTTCTGGGCTGATTAAAAAGACTTGAAATTAGAGAATAGTGACAGTTGCAAGACTTTGGAAATATACTAAAAACCACTAAAGGTTACATTTTAAAGTGATGCATTTTATGATATTTGAATCACTACTCACATTTAAACAAGGTTGGGCCGGGCACAGTGGCTCACGCCTGTAATCCCAGCACTTTGGGAGGCCGAGGCGGGTGGATCAGGAGGTCAAGAGATCGAGACCATCCTGGTCAACATGGTGAAACCCCGTCTCTACCAAAAATACAAAAAATCAGCTGGGCATGGTGGCGCATGCCTGTAATCCCAGCTACTCAGGAGGCTGAGGCAGGAGAATTGCCTGAACCCAGGAGG